TCTACATTGGCTGTCTCTCACCCTTTACCCACCCCTGTTGCTTGTCATGTGTTTCTTTGGTGTATTAAGAGTTTTTTCATGTGCTATGTGCAGAGGTGTTTTTTTTCTGTTCTCAAACTGATCTCCCTGTTGGAGCTCAGTCGGGGGGGAGTTATTTTTTTCTCCTTATCTTTCCTCGTGTTGTGCATTTTCCATTGTTATACCTCTCTGGCCTATCTTCCCCATGTGATGTTTGTGTAATGTATGTATGGTCAGAAGGGTAAGACGGCGCTGGCAAAGGTCGGCAGCCTTAGCCCAATTTCCTTCGGGGTCAACCTTCAGGATCAATAAAATCAATTCAATTTTATTGAATTGAATTGAATAAATATATGATTAAACTGAGAAAAACTAAGATAACACCTTCCCATGATAGTCTAGTACCTTAATATTTAACCTTAAAACCAAAATAAATAAAATATCCAGTTTGAATACCACTCACACTTTGTTCCTAGCCAGTGTTTCTGCCAACTGTTTACTTCCTAAAATATGCATGCAGCCTTCAGTTCTTACATGTAGTTTTATTCCACATTACATTGTTCTGTGCTGTACGATGATGAATGCATCTTATGGTAAATGTGAGCATAACAAGACAAATTCATAGAAATTGTATTGTTGAAATGGATACAATAAACTTGGTCTTTTATATGTAGTGTATCCCAGAGAGCTCATTCTGCTCATTTGGATGTTGCGTTTTCAGTGGGAGGCATTCATCCAAATGACTTCCTCAGTCTTAGCTGAGTGCAGGTTTCCCCAACCTTACAAACACTACATTTGCATGATGATCTAAACTGGTGCCACTGACTAACAATGGGCTGTAAGGTCAGTTTTATGATCATTAATATGCAAATACTGCTCAGAGAATATTTAATATCTATATACAACAACAGCTTAGGGCTTCACTTCTGGAATGGTGTTACTGCTGTGTGATCCTTACCTCTTGTTCATGCTGAAATATCACTACTCTGCCTCCCTTGTCTCCAGTTGCCAGTAGCTCTCCAGAATAGTTGAACTCAACTGTTGAGATTATGTCAGCTGAAAAGACACAAATCGGTGTGAATCAGACCTCACAGCTCAGCTTCCGCACTGTAGTTGGGATGGCAGCTAGAATGCTACTGTGATGGGCTGCAGGCTAAGTCTGATCCCACTGTTCTTATAGAAAATGTAAAATACCGATAACCACATAATATCACGTACACCCACTAAGGTATGAATGAAAACAAGCATGATGTCACTCGACAATTTATGGACGCAGCACATTGACGTCACGGGCACGGTCGCTCCCCCTTTAATAGTTTAGCCACCAGCTAGCTCATAGCGAGCTAGCGACACACAGCAATCTACAAGGAAAGGGCGTTTGTGCAACTGATCCACAAACAGGTCTACACTAATCACGAGAGCAGTCTTGCAAAAAAGCACGCGCGTCCATCCGCCGTCAGCTCTCGTGCACCTCAAGCGAATCCCACAGAGAACCATCATCAGACCACCTAGCTAGCTGCCCACCACTGTAGCCTAGCCGCCGAGCTAACGTTAGCCACATACCTTCCGCAACATCTTCATCTATCGCTCCTTTTACTTGAGAGAAACACCACTGAAAATCATTTCCTCCTGCAACTCCTGCAAAAAGAAACCAGGGTTAGTGTGATTCCGGCTCGCCCTTCATCGGGCGGTAATAATGACCTGACAGTGACACAGTTTGACAACTAGCAACTTAGCTTGCCAGCGCTAACGCTGGTTAGCCAAGTTGCAGATTCAGGCCATCACACACACCAAGTGAGGTGGATCCTTTTCCCTTCCTTTAAAAAGTAGCTTACCCGCCATTGCTTCATTTAGCAGCTCTTGTTGTACACAGCTTCCAATGCCTTATCAACCAGTGCGGCGCGCTCGGAGAGATAGATAGCATCCACAATCAGTGTGAAGACTCGGGTCCAGATCTGTCAAGACCACGGAAATTATCCGTGATTTTTTTTCTTCCAAAATGGCGCACAGTACATGGAGAAATGACGTCATGCACACATGCCACATCCTGACTCCATCCATCCTCCTGAGCATCATATCAGTAAATGTGCATTTTCACTGGATTTTATATCCACCCAGCTTTGTTTCGATGAATTGCATGTTTTACATATATGGTTATTGAGGAGTTTAAATCCTATTTAGCTGCCCACTAATAAGCAGGACAAATACAATTTACACATCCCCGCCTGGTTATTTTCTCTGTGACTGAAATAAACAGCTACACATGCAAAAACAACTAAGAAAATCTACATTTTTTTCAGGCATATATCCACAGAGCAAATATGTTTAATTAAAATGATTTGCATAGCAGCCCATGAATAAGAGTTAAACACATTTTGTTTGCATGTTAAACGTTTTTTGACATTTAAATTTTTTATTTCATTTTTCATATTTTACATGCAAAGTGTGATTTTGAGTAAAGCGTCACTTTGAACTATAGTGACAACATGTAGCACCTCAGCCTGTATTGGATGGTCAATCGGTGACATCTAGCGGCAAAACCGAGAAAATTCCGTTTACTTCGCATCCACTATATAGTTTTCAGTCTTTATTTTAGTCTGTATCCTTTTCTATTGTTATATTTCTTCACGAAGATAAAGGTAAAAAGAGTCTGACAAGTCCAGTGAAAACAAATGCAAGCCAGTGTTATTAGAAAGAAGCCTGCCACTCAAAGAATCCAGAATTTAAATCTATGAGAGAATTTCACAACAATGTAAGTGAGCTTTTAAAATTAGTTTTATTGGCTAAAACTGGTAATTCTCCACATGCAATTTCAGATTTCTATGACCAAACAAAGGTAACTTAGATAATGGTTCAAAGTATATTAGGTTAATTTGATATTATTTCAAATACTCAGTGTGATTTTTTCAAGCTACAAAATAATGTTTTAGCTATTTTACACAGAATCAACAAAAAAATATGCTGTGTATTTATTTTTTAAATAGATTGTCTGCAGTGTGATGTAGTGCATACAGAAAAAACTGCCGTAGATGATGTATTTTTTTTAAATTAAATACATATGGTGATATATATACACAGTTCAGTGGATAAATGCCAATAAGCAGATATGAAAAAGCATAGTCTAAAGCTTGTTTTTATTCAGCTATCATAGCGTGTGTTTTTGAAGCCAACTCATCACTTGCACTGACTTGAAGTTTTATTATATATATATATGTATTTTCCCCATAGTTTATATTTGGTTTTTGCAGCTGCACATTGTCCAGGAGGTGGCAAGAGAATAAAAACGATGTACCCTCGAAGACCTGGGCCAAATCCCACCAAAACCTTCTCCCAAGCTACACATCGTCTCATCACTCACGCAGAGTCCCACGGGAAGAAGCAGAGCAGAGGCCTGGAGGTTAGGAAGACTCTCTCACTCCCTCACTCTCTTTCTCAGTACACCTATATATCTATATTTAACTATCTATACAGGTACAGACATATCTATATATTTGTCTATAGAGATATTTATACAGATATAGCATAAAAGTAAATGTTCTTATAAGGTGTTGGGTCAACACCTGCCACCAGAACAACTGCAGTACTCCTTGGCATTGATTCTGAAAGTTTGTGGAACGCTACCAGAGGAAATAGAACGCTACCAGAGGAAATACTTTGATCTATCTATCTATCTATCTATCTATCTATCTATCTATCTATCTATCTATCTATCTATCTATCTATCTATCTATCTATCTATCTATCTATCTATCTAT